GAACGACGAACTAGAGACATCGAGATTGCAATTTCCGTGCGTCTACGACGACCAGACCGTTTTCGTCTACCTATTCACAAAACTGTCGAAATTATACGATATTTCGGAAAGCGAGAGATAAAGCGAGACGACGCGCGTACTCTCGCGAAATGAAGATACCAAGTGATATGTTCGCGTCAGCGATTACCATTCCTGCCGCGGTTAAACGTTCGATTTCGAGAGGGCGATCTCGATCCGGATCAACGCGAGATAGGCGTACCTAATTAATTTCACTAAATTCGCATTCGACGATTTGCGATTATTTTTGACTAACTATCAGAAACATTTCAACAGCTTCGAACCCGAGTCGACGATTTTCCTTTAATAAATTATTCGTCGCAGTTACACAAATTTACCGAACGAAAGATATCGTTTTAGCCTCGGTACGTACGCGTGATAAAATTAATCGAAAACATCCAATTTCTGGTGTGTCGCGGATCTCGTCTGATCGCCGATCAAAGTTCTACGAACGCATAGGACAACTCGTTTCGTCCAGCGATCGACGTACGAATATTTCTTTAATCGTCGTCGTCGTAGAGGCACACGAATATCGAAAACAACCGCCGACTCGCGGGTAATTTACGAACACCTCGTTGGAACACTTAATACGTTTCTTGTTCCTGCTTTCTTTTCAATTTCCTATGGTGTGTATACGTGTGCCTGTGTCTATGTGTGTATATGCGTGTATGTGTGTGTGTTACGTGTAGCGTGTAGCGTGTTCGCGATAAAGGAACGTCGCGCCGCGAAAGAAATTCGTGGAAGGCTGCGCGAAATTACAAAACGCGCGTTCCGCAAAATTTAGCTAAATGGTTACGTCGAAGCAGTTCCGCGTACAAAAAGACGCTTACACGCGGCTTTTCCGTATCGTGTACTATGTTAGCGTAAGTGCGTGGTGTGTTCGTGTAGGTGGATTGGCATGATTCGCCGCGCCAGAAAAATGACGGTGAAAATTACGTCCGTTCCGGCGCGACCACCGTGTATGCCAATAGCAGGTTCTCCGACGTTTTCGGAGTAGAACATTCTTTAACGAATAGAAAAATTTGTCTAGAAAAATCTCGGTCTCGGTCCTCGTCCAAATACTCGGTCCGTTCAAGTACTGGAACGATACTATTCTCTATATATATGTATACTTTTTCTTTAATTATCAATTGATTTAGGTGAATTGGTACCTAGTTAAGTTTCGCTACAACTATATCGATCGATTAGTGGGAGATCCTGTCCGTACGCGCGAGCGTACACGCGTGTGGCAGCGCGCGCGACAGCGATTCGGACGCATACTTTCTTCTCGGTTACGAGTAACAGATTTTTCTCTAATATACGAACCGCTTTATCGCGTGAATGCTTCGAGGATTCCTCGGGATTTCAGGATACATCGAGTTGCCCCGCTCGAAACTTTGTCGCCACAAAGTTTTTCCGTTCGTAGCGATCAATGTTCGCGTAAGAGCGTTTCAAAGTCTTCGGAAGCAATTTTCGTGGCGGTCGATCGGATCGGAACAATCCTACCGTTAAACATTTAACGAAAAGTGAATGACAACGTTGAAAGAAACATGAGCGCGCAACAGTGATCGCAACAAAATTCGGGACAACGAGCTAGTCGAGAGGTTTCATCTTCGAAGCAATCGAGAAACCACACTCGCGCAATCAAATTTATTATTTACCGGTAGCACGCCGTACGGACTCGTTCCATCGCTTTTCGTCCACATCGGAACGATGCCTCGCGACGAAAAATTACGCTAACTAATGTTCACCTCCTTTTCTCTCGCTCGCTCGATCGTCCGCCTTTCCTTGTCTTTCCATTCCTACCTCGATCTCTCATCCTTTCGATTTCACCTCTTCTCGCTATTCGGTCTCCGATGAACAACATTAAATTTTGTCGAGTGCGCAAGAAAAGATTAACCGTTATTTAGAATATTACCGTAGCAACGGATAGAAAAAATTCAATGTGTTTGTTCCGTCGACTCGATAGTGCATACATATACACCTATATACATAATACATATCTCGACGAGCTTCGCGTGCATTTCGACACGAAATTTCATTTCTCCTGTATCGCACACTTCTAATCTGTAATCGTTGCCGACGTTTCGTTCTTTTCCCCTTTAGCACGTTATTTTGTATCGCCTTGGGACGATCGCGGCATGTTGCGTCTAAGTAAATACCTTTATGTCTCTGCCAATGCTTTCCCAAGGGAGGTGGGGCGAATGTCGAACGGGATACTCGTCTCGACGGATTATCGTTCAACAGTTATTTTCATCGCAATTATTTAGACTACTCCGTACATTCTCCGTACCCGATAAACGCTCGCGAGTATACGCACGAATTCGTATGAACGAAGGGATGGAGAGTGGCCGTTCTTACGGTTTTTCTCTCGCTTTTCCTATCCGTCGTGCACATGCTCGTACCTCTATGGTGTCTAGACGACACCTAATCTACGGCGACAAATATATACAAAAAAGAGTACCAAAAAAATAAATATATATGTATATTTATATATATATATATATATATATGTATGTATATATGAATGTATGTATGTATGTATGCGCGCGCGTGTGTGTGTACGTATGTGTATTTTTATAGTTTGAAAAGTGAACAAGCCTGCGTCTCGGCACGTACGTGTGAGTTTGTTGCTAACCGTGTACACGCGAGAGTGTGACGTTGAAAAGTACTCGTGCGAGATCAAACTACGAGATTATGGTTTCGATCGATGATGCTGCAGTGTGCCCAAGGCTAAACACGAATACAAACAATTAAGTTATCGGTTGGAGCTACCTTAACCAGTCGAGACGCGATGCCGTTCTCGCGAATCGTCGAGCAACTTACGAAATTACAAAATTTTTTGGATGTACATTACGCGACAGTTGAGAAAGTGTCTACGAAGAACTTGACAAGTGTGCTACCGCTAGCAATGCATACTTTACACGACCCATTCGGTCCTATACTCGAGCCGCAGACGCAGGTTCGATCGGTCGTATATGCCGATTCGACATATCCGATACATAGCTATTTACGCGAAACTCGAAATAACGAGCGACGGAGTCTTCGATGCCTATCACGGTCATGCTGCGAGCACGATCGTGCAAGCAGCGAAGCTACGCGTGTCCACGTTTCGCGCAAAGTACTTTCCTCCTCCTCCTGCTCCTTCGATTACGCGAGCAAAATGATCTCGACTGTGGTCGTTTTCGTCGAAAGAAAAGTAGAGAAAAGGCGGACGAACGGTTGCCGGAAACGCCGCGCTAGGAATTACCATCGAGAGCATCTCGACAACTTCCCGTTGAAGAATACACGTGTCACGATCGAGGTGAGATATCGTTTCAACTACGTCGATTGCATCATTGCGTTTGATTATGTACATCGAGCGAAAAATTTCGTTAGAATTAAGGAAACGTGTATTCGACCGTCGCCATTTTACGAGGATCGTATCGGTAGAAGAAAAGTCGGTATTTACACAGGAGGGATTCATGCGATTTCCTACGAGTCTAGCGTAAAGAACGTTACTCTGTTCGCACGTACGACGATCGAATCGACTACGACTTAGATTTCCGCTCTTCTTCGACATGGACGACGAACAAGAACGGACAATTGTCCGTTTCTCCCTCGAAACGAGCGATTCGCGATTCGTTTCGCGATTCGTTTCGCGCCGGATCATCGAGTCGAAATACGCAGGCCTATGTAGAAGCCGCGTGCACGTGTACAACGATAGTTCGGTTCGGCTATCGTGCCAATTGTTTTCTGATACGACCGCGCGCGATTTGCCATCGAAGCAAAAACGAATTAGCTTTGTTTCCGTGATTACTTATCATCGACGTTTTCGCGTGCACTTTTTTCCTCGATTTTTCATTCGGTAAGCGTCGGATACGTTTGGATTTTTTTTATTTTTCGGAAAATAAATAACGGATCGTTCTCGCACGAAGCGAGATCGCGAGGCCCACGTTTTCGTTTCTTCTTCCGAAGCGCGATCCCATCCCCTCGCCTCCCTCTCCTCCCGAGACGACTCCGCGAAAGGTTGTTCGGGCTGGTTCGAAGTATTGGCAGAGAATCGGACACGGTTAGACAGACGTGTCGTGCGAGAACACGCGGTCGCGCGCTAAGAAAATTCAACTATCGACTTTTAAATTGCCCATCTACGTTCCGTTCTTTCATCTTTGTCAGCTTTCTGATTCTCGTTCGCTTTCATTCGCTCCCGATATCCCCCCGCTATATGACTCTTTCCCCTTTTCTTTAATTTTTCCTACATCTCGTATTCGGATAAGTTAATTAGTAAAAAACCATCTCTCTTTCTTCCAAATATTCCGTCTACGAGCGCGAGTCGCGTTATCCACGCGAAAAACGCATGTATAATATATATTTATATATAACGCACCTATGTAACATATTCGATAAGTCCTTAAAAAGCTAAAGACTGTGTGATACAGAGAATTATCTAATACACAGCGGTTTGAAGCGTGGATGTTTTTCATTATCTACTCAACGTTCGATCGCGAACGGTTTTGCCTCCCGGACTCGCGTCTCTATTTATCTATCACTCTTCCGCGTTTCTACCAGCGCACGTCTCGGCGGCCTTGCAACTTTATCGATCAATCGCTTTCTCTATTTCTTTCTTTCTGTGTGTGTGTGTTTCCTTTTTTCTCTCTATCGATTTTTAAACCTCATCATTTCGCGTCGAATCAGGTACTCGCTACATTTTCTTACCACATTTCGTTTCTTTCGTGCATCTCTCGACCGGAGTTGGCCCTTTCTAAACCGACAGCAGCGTTTCGATCGACGAGCTTCGATCCTCCCTCGATCGTCTACGAAAACGTAAAACGATCGACGAGAGGAACGGACACGTCTTCTCATCTGTGGGGTAGTCGCGTGTTCCTCGTTCGGCATTTTTCCTTCTCTGGCCTTGGTCGTTCGAACAAAGGACAGTTGGCGATATCAGGACGAAGAAGGAAAAAGTCTGCGTTCCGACACGGTTTCTCCGACACGGTTTCTCCGACGCGGAAGTCTCTTGTCCGATTGTCGCTCGTACGAAAAGATGAGACAGTTGGCGAAGAGTTTTTCGCTGTGGCGTCGACAGCTTGCAGGGTTGCTCGGTGCGAAAGCACGTTCTCCGGTGGTTGGTCGATGGTCGGTGGTCGATCGGCGAGAGACTTTTGGACTCTTGTCCGCCTTGGCTCGATGCACCGCGAGCCGCGTGATGTGGGGAAAATAGACGAGCAAAGAGCGAACACGGTCGAGGAGCAGTGGAACCGATGGATCTTGGTTCACACCGAATCAGAAACTCGACTCGACTAGACTCGAATCGCGTTTGCCAACGAATCGATAATACTCGGTAAATGAGATATCTTGTAGAGATCAAGCGCGTTTGCAACGATCCTTCCATCCTTTGAATTCGATGGGTTTTCGTTCGATCGTTTCCTTCGATGCAACGTCTATCGATGGCGAGTGTCGAAGAGTACGGTCTCTCGCTTGCCATGGATGCTGCGAGATCGAAGGCCGAGGATCGATCGGTGTGACGCCGAGAGGTTCGACTGGCAGGCAACGCCGGGTGGTTTTGTTCGTCGAGTAACCGGTAAATGTGTTAAAGTAGCAGTGGAGTTGAAGTAACTTGTAGTTGAATAGTAATTGTGGTAGTAGTGATAGAGTAGTAATAGTAGTAGCGATAATAGTGGTAGTAGTAGAGTAGTGGTAGTACCGACGATCGAGTGGGTAGTAGTAGTGGTAATGGTGGTTTCTGGTCTGTGTTCCGGTTGGTAAACCGGTAGGTAAGCGATAGGAGTGAGACGGACTGTCGGATGGACCGGGATGTTGTATTTCAGGGGTTCGGGAGGGTGTATTTGTTTTCGGAGGCAAAGGTGGTGAAGGAGTCGGGGCGAAAGGGGCGAAAAGGGCGAAAGGGGTGAAGGTAGGTAAAGTGTCTCGTGGGGGGAGGGGATGGTTCGTAAAAGTGGTAGTTAATTAGCTAGGGTTGCGAGATAATTAGGGACAACGGAGCTGGGGTTAACACCAGCGGTAAGGCACGGCTCGAGGCCGATCCGCGCCCTCCTTCACCAGCGGCTTGTGAAACTCGCGACCTGGTCGAGAGTGAATCGTTGCCCAGCAATGCTCGCAGTAGTACTGTAACAAACGAAACGACAAACGTGTAGCGTTACTCGTTCTCTCGATCGAAGCGTACGTGTTTCCGTACAACTTACCTGCAAGCAGGTAACGTTAGCGCAGAAGAACGGCGCGAATTTACCTCCGCAACGTTGTCCCTGACACTCGTCGCACATTTGATCGTCCAGAACGTACGGCTTGACTTCGACCTAGGCAACGGAAAACAAGAAACGTTATAGCGTTCGACACGTTCGTTTCCATCAACCTCAGATAAAACTACTTACTCGTTTGTCTATGTCGCCGTGCTGCAATTGAACGAATCTGGCCGATATGGCAGCTATGTAGCTTTGCTGATTACTGAACGCGACCCTGCCAGCCCCTTTCGGATACTTGAGCTCAGGATCGGTGTCGATGCCTGCGTAACAGACGCCGCCGTAAAGTCGATCCATGATCATCGCTAGCTCGACGGCTTTCAATGGTCGCGGCACACCGCCGACGAACACAGTTTTCCGTGGATCCAGCGGCATCGATGCGTCCAGAACGAAATCCGCGTCGCTCAATCGCCATGGCCGAATCTGTACCGGTTTATCTTTGGTCGTCGGTGAGCTTACGCACAGATACAATTTCTCCTCGTCTTGAATGCACGCGTCGATTAGCTGCTGCACGGACGCTTCGTCCTGTGTTCGAAACAAGTCTCGAATCAATCTACGTTTATTGGGACCGTTTGGTATACGAAGTTGGATCGTTTTCATTGTAAATGGGAAACTAGTAGAGGACGACGCGTACGATATACGTATATCATTTATTATTTAGAGTTTCGTACGACACATAGTAGCGATCGGTCGGAAACGGGATGGGAAATGATTCCGAACGAGAAACGAGAAACGAGAAACGAGAAACGAAATTACCTGGAAAAGCAGGAAAGCGTAGCCCTTTGGTGGAAAGTAGGATTTGCTCTCCGCTTTGTGAGGCCAATCGACGACCAATGATCCAAAACGACGAAAGCTGGTTTTGATCTCTTCTGCGATAAACAAATTTTCATAATTGTATAAAAAATCGAACGGGGATACGATCGCGCCTTGCCGTCTCGTACGAATAAAAAGCAAAGCCGTATTTCTCGTTTAACCTACAATTTTCGTCTAGGTATATGAACGACACCGTTTCGTATAGTTTTAAGGAGAAAAGAGTAAAGAAAGCGAATATACCTTCGTCGATGTCTGGTGGCAATCCGCCGACAAACACTTTTCTAGAAAAGCGTTCTCCGGTCTCGCTACCCTGGCTGTGAGGACTGCTCCGACTCGGCGACGAAAGTGGCGCAGCTTGAGAGGCGGTTATTCCACCCCCGACGCCAACACCTACACCGACGCCAACGCCGACACCGACACCGACACCGACACCGACACCGACGCCAACACCGTCCAACTGGCTCGGTGCATTCGGATCCTCCAGCAGGGTTCCGCTCTGTTCCTCGAGACTCGGGAAGAACGGTGATTTACCTGAAAACAAACCATTTTCCATGTCAAATCTCTCATTTTCCCTTACGATTTCCGTTCACGTTCTAGTTTGGACGAAACCAATCTTTCCTTTACGATCATTCATTTCCGTTTCACGTTTAGATACAAATCGATGGTACGTCGTTTGCTTTCATACCATGGACGCGGGTTTTTATCGGCGATACTCCGAGAACGATAACGGACTAAATCCTCGACGGCGTTACGCAACGAACGATACCGCGTTTCACGTACAACGAAGCCGACCTTTGCCCTTTAACGGAAGAAGGAAATCATTGAGCGAATCGTATCTACGCAACCAACGACTCGTTAGCTTCAGGTTACGAAGAGAACGGTTATACTCTGCCGACGCGACGCGACGCGTCGGGGTCGTTTTCGTGAAATATTCCGGTTGGAGTTGTCAAACACTTACTGTATCTCCTAATGGGAAACCTTGCTCTTCTGATAAACGTTGCCATTCCTGGCAAATCTTCGTTTCGAGAAATACAAAAAGTGTGGATTCTCTCGAACGTGACTGTTTGTTTCTCGTTGTTGTCGTTAAGGGAAAACAGAGAACGGATAAGGCACACGCGCAATCGAGCGGAACCGGTCGCCGCCGCTTTTACGAAACAATCGAATTCGAGCTGGCGACGATCGCTTCTTTTTCGCTTCTAGCCACTAGCGTGAGTAACGCATAGAAATTTTGCGTCGACGTCAACGTCGATGGCTCGTGGAAATTGTTATCTCGGCATTTCTCACATCGAGGCTCGCCAACCAGATCGATCAGAGAACAAATGAAATAAGAAAGAAATGCTCCCCGTAATAGTTAATACTCGATCGAAATTCCGGCGAGGGTGAGAACGACCACGATCATTTCGCGCGTTCGATCCGATTGTCACGGTATCCCGTACGAGGAACGAACGGATAACGACCAAGATCGAACGTCATTTACGTATCTCGGTTGTCGTCTCGCACCGTGAAATGGATTCGGATTATCCTATCGGAGATGATCGTCGCTGAATCGCCTCCGGCTCGGAACGTTTCGCAAACGAGCAAACTGAATTTGGCGTTAATTTTTCGAACGTCGGCTGTTTGCGATAAATTTCGATTCTCCGACGACCAACTACATCTCTGCGATGCCGACGTTTCAAATTTTGTCGAATCAACTTATACAAACACAAATATTTCGGCCAAGAAAAGAGCCTTCGAAGATAATTAGTTCGAGCTCCGAAACGTCAAGATTCGTCACTGTACCCGCATACTCGTTACGCGTAGATATGGACGCGTCTCTCAACGAGTTAAGCGGTACGCGCACCTACGTTACTCGCAGGTGCGTAATTAAATCGAAATCAAGTCGCGGATTAACGACGAGCACGTCATTATTTTGCGCCCGGACGACGAGTGGGTAGTCGCCACCGGACCACTTTTCGCTCGTCTCGTTTATTTTTAAGCCAACGTGGGCTAATGTCGCTCGGAAAGCGATATAGGTCGCGTCGATACTCGACGTCGTTACATTTAGTTTGCCGTCAGCGATTCGATCGCGTATTCCACAAACGGATGTTCTTCGACGAGAACCGCGGCAACGATCCGCGGTTCGTTTTGCCAACTATTCGCTGAGTTTACGATGTAACGCGCACAATTTCATTTGGCATCGCTACCGTCTACGTGACAATCATCCGCCGATATCGTATCGCGAACGATTTTATACGATTTGCGCGTATTCGTTTTACACCGGAATGTATCGTTGTTTGGCGTTAACACGTTCGCGCTTCTTTTGTTGGACGAACGCGGCGAACCAACCGGATGGACGGTTCGTAACAGAGGACAATGGAAATTCTCAGGCGGTAAACCCGATGCTCTTAACGCTCGTCTCTCGTCTGTTTATTAGCCTGCATTTCGTTCTTTCGTCATCGCGGTCGTAACGTTTTTGCATTTCATCGCGTTTCATGCGGTCGTTTGGTAAAGCGCGGGAAAAAACAAGATGGAGGAGGAGAAGCGAATAAGGGACGATGCAAGCCGATAGATCGGTCGAGAAGGTTTGCCAGCACCCTCGATAAGGGGAAGCACCTCGAGGCTTAATCACGATTCGACAGGTCCTCCGACCCTTTCCAACGAGCGGCCTAACCGAATAAGCTGGTGCGTGCATGATCGCGGTGCGAGGATAAACTCGAGACACGAAACGCGAGTGCAGGGGTGCCGCAACGAGGCATAGAGCGTCGCATACGAGGGGTAGAGCGGCGTACCGTACCGGCTGCTAGACGTAGAATAATCTGCGCGGATAATCGCGCCCTTATCGCAGGGACTCGCGACTCGTGCTCGGGGTTGCATTTCGTGGCGTGGGACGAGGCTTTCTGCCAAAATTATTTAACGCTTTCCCGCGCCGCACAACCGCACAACCGCGCCCCGGGTCGCGCGTGACTCATCGCTGCCTCCTGCGTCAGCGTTGCCTCCTTTTGCATAGCTCGTGCTCATCCGCGTCGGTTCACGTTACACACACCGTAGACTAATCGAAAAGGCTTTGGACGCGCGGGTGAAGCGTCTGCGTCACCGTCACCGTTCGTTTATGCGCGCGCCAATTACGTATTTCTCCATTTATTCGTCGAAACGACACATACCGTTCCTTAGCACACCAAACGGCCGAGTAAAAATATGACATCGATAACAAATGATAATTCCGCGAAGTAATTGTGATACTTAACGATGCGGTGACGCGGAAGATACCGTCTTCTCACCTTGATATTTGACCCGGTACTCGCAATCTAATCACGTTTCGCGAGTACGCTTATCGTTGAAATGCCCTCGCGATCGCAGCGATCGCGAATCGAAAGAGAGATTACGGAATCGCAGTCAACGAAATAACTCGTAATCGTCGAAATTTTTCATCGAGCTCTTGTTCGCCGTCCTACCGACGGTTCCAAACGCGCGACCTCTAATCACGAGCATGACGCGCAAACACGTCGCGTAAAGCTTCCTTCGAAATTTCAATAATTTACGATCGTTTAAATCTGTTCCAGTCCGTTTAAACACGGCGAGATTCTCGCGTACGTGGAATTCCCGTGGTCGTTTGTCAATTACGGAACCCGGCTGTGGTACGCCGCCTTACGAAACATACCGTTGCGGCGTGAAACGGCAACTCGACGGACAAAATGGAATTCGAGCAACCTGCATACCGGTTAATCTTATCGCGGTCGGAGCCGATGCATCAATCGTTATCGCGACTATAACGACGTACAGTCCTTATCGACCGGTGAGTAGATACTGGTACATATAAAGCGCGAGCGAGTCAAAGGTTATAGATATTCTTAGGGAAACTTTGGTCTCGAAGACGTGCCGGACGACAAGAGAAGCCTCGAGGCCTCGAGAGAAAACATTGTCGAAAAAAAATTCCTTACCCAACCTTTTTTTTAAAAGCATAGATCGATCGACAAGCGTCACCGCGTTCGTTACCGCTTTTATCGCGTATCTTTCGCTGATAGATCGCGAGACGCTTACGGTTTCTTGTGAACGTTATTACAACATCTAAACGTATGGACTGACAACGCGTGACTCTACGAAATTCACCGTTTGTCGTTGTAAATCGTTCGAGGTAAACGGATAGCGTCGTAAATAGACCTCGTCCTTGTTGTTTGTAACAAACCAAACGGTAGGTAGAATTTTATTTGTATTCATTGTACGCTTCGAAAAGTACACCTATGTATATCGGATTCAATGGAAGAACTGTAGACGCGTTAGGCTTTTTCGTTCCCGACATCCTTAGCCGTTGACAGGATTTGTCCCTTACGGGATTGATCGTAACTAAGGGAACCAAACGGTTGGTTTGCGTCAGTTTGCCTCTGTTTTCCACCGATGCGGTGTAGGCGCGGGTCCGGCGAACCCTCGGTTGGGTTTGACAAAATTAGAGAAAAAAAGAGAGAAAAAGAAAGGAAGAAAAAGAGCGTCGAATCGGGTCGGGGTCGCAGGTCTCGCGGCTATCTATGAACGCTCCAAACGATACCCAGCCGCCGCGACTGAAGCCAGCGGTGTTTTCATTTCAGCGCTCAACGACAGTTATGGAACATCCATCTAACACGGGTCGGCACTAACGCTAGAAGGTTGCACGGATCAATATTACAGGTAGCTCTACCCCCTGTACGCCCGTACAGCCGCTCTTCCCCGGCTACGCTATACTTTGTCGGCCACCGCTCGGACACCCACCGATATCTTAGCCCGAGTGCATATGCCATTTTACCTTGGTGCGCGCAACTATTTTACGTTTGACGCGAGAGAGAGACTTTCCTTGTTTGGTCCTCAACCGTCTCGGGCGAAAGCAAAGCACATCGAGGGACATGTTACCGTAAAAGAGACAAATTTGAAAACTAAGCGAAACGATCGAAACTGTATCAACGAATGGAGTTTGTGTCTCGCGCAGGTGAAGGGTACCCGCGTTGAACGTTAAACTTTTTATTCGTAGTGTACCGACGACTAAAGTCGAGCAGGTAGCTGATACGGGCTGCTTGATACGCTGGCTGATACGTACGTGTATCGGCAACCGACCGATACCATTATGCGCGCTAGACTCGAATAGAAGGCGTGTAGATATCGTCACGTGCGCGCGTTATCAGAAATTTGCTAGCAACACTCTCGATACGGTTCGAATTTACAAAGATGTAGATATAGACGGTATGGATCGGTGAAAACAACGGGAAAGAAGTTTCACGAGTTGGAAACCCTTGGGATGAAAATGGATAGCAAAGTCGGGAGACGGAAATCGATTCTGAAACCGTGCTACATATCGCTTCTGGAAGGACCTCTCGTTTAATTTCCCGAAACAACGTGTTCGGAATTTGAAAATCACGTGGTATACAATGTCTGTCTCGATAGCACTCGAGCGTACAGGAGGTTGCTTCGAGAAGTGCGACACGCTTGAATGGTAGAGACCGGAGACTTATGGACGAATAAGGTTAGAAAAAAAACGTGTTTTTCTCGTTTCGCGGACGTATTATGGCTTACGAAACGACCTGTATCCG